GTGTGTGTGTGTGTGTGTGTGTGTGTGTGTGTGTGTGTGTGTGTGTGAAGGCACGTTTGCGAAAGCCTTTTTGCGCTCGCTTCCCTTTTGTGTGCACGGCCCGTAGCTTTGACCCACTTCACCGGATCGACGTCTCTCATCCAAACCAAGCTCCTTTTCCATGTCGCTCCCCATCCCTACATCCATCAAACGCCTACGTCAACATCCGATTACAAAAAAAGAAGAAGAAAAAAACAATCCCTGTGGTGGAGATAATGGCGCAATGGCCAGCCTCTAAAATAACAACATGGTCCACAACAACAACAAGAGCCCCCCGCACAATGGCCCAGTGTTCGGGGACCCAGGGGCGCAGGCGGGGCTCCCCGCTGCCATCCAGGCTGTCGGACAGGCAGGAGAGAGAGGTCACAATCGCACAGCGAGCAGCACTTCCTGCTCCTGACTGAGGCATCGACAGAGTCAAGAGTAGGAGGGGATCTTAACAGAGGATCGATCCCTCTGTTTCCTCCCCAACAGCATGCTCATAGGGTATCTCACACGAGATTCCAAATGTTACCTGTTCGGCACGCATGTGAACCGCAGAGTAATTACACAGTTTAACGTTAACCATCGCAGTGTGAAATAGGTGGACGTTGGACGGTGGCAAAAAATGTGTATGAAGCCTTGTAGACGATAATCAAACAATAATAGGATCTGTGTCTGCCCATATGGATCATCAGTGATCGTACATGAGTATAGGCGGCAACAAGACGTGATCAGGAATCTCTAAAAGTTATATTTACTTTTCTTTTGTTGTGATCTGATCCGTGAGTTTTCTGATCCGCTGCACCACTAGTTGCCTGGGATGTGCGTTATGCGTCAGAGACATTGTTGTGGTTTGTGGGAGGCGCAGGTCAGGATATGCAGGTTGAATGGAAGCCCGGCTTGGTTGTGCTCTTTTATCTTTTGTCGTTCTCTTTCATTTTGGCATGAGCGGGAGAGCGCGCTCTGAAATGATCATACCAAATGTGTATGTAATGTATACCTCCTACCAGCCCTGGGCCAATATCTATCTCCCACATCCAGAGCTCTCTGCTGTGGGGGGAAAATGGCAGCAAAATGCACTATGAGTCTTTGAAAAGCAGGCGGACAAGGTGACTGCATCCAGCGGATTAGTGAATAGGTGTTTTGAGTCAGAGTGGCCTTGCTTCCTGATGACGACCTCTTTGGTTTTTCTTTCTCACTTGTGCAACTGATCAGTTTTGATTCGAAGGACACGGGCTGTGATGGAACATTGGAGCTTAATGTTTGTCATGCTCTGTGTATGGGAGGCCTAGATGGTTCAAGGATGAGTGTTTTTTTTCTTTGCTTTAACGGTGCAATTCATAATCAAAGAGAGAGTATGTATGTGCTTGTCTTTGGTCTTAAATGTTCTAACTTGGATACCTTGAAAGCGTGTGTTTGTGCTCTACATGCTCCACATTGGCACACGTTGTCCACATTCCTTCCCTATGACTCTTCCATGGTCCACCTGATTTGCATTTGACCCCCTTACTCTTAGCTCAGTCCCTCGGGTCAGGGGCTTGACCCCTCTCCGCCTTGTGGCACTGAAGTGACGAGGCGCCTCCTGAATATCCCTTCAATTGGCCTGCTGCACGACCAACCTGCTCCCAACGTGATGAAGTGGGGTTCAGAGGTCGGGGGTCGACAGAGGGAGAAGGGTATCTCTGGTCATCAGCGGTGGCCCGGGGGCCGGAGCGGCCGAGGGCCCGGCGCCACAGTGCTGGCTGACTGGGGTGCGGTGGCCGTCGGGTTAATAGGATAAGTGGCCTGTTGTTCAGTGTGGCCCCCGTTCCAACGCTAATACAGGAGCTTGTCTTTGCACTGTTGCCATGGTGAGGAAGGGATCCAGGATATTTGGTACTCCACTTGGTTACAGTTTTAATCCAACCGCGTCTCGATGAAACCGTTCATCCTAGTCGCTTCATCCTACTTTTTGCTTTCATTTAGCTTCATATGTTTCTGGTCTTTTGATGCGATTGTCGGCGTCATCCGTTAACTTCCCTCACGATACAGACGCCTCTCCGGAGTTCATACTAGCGCATACGCAAGATTGATGATTAGATGACTGTCTCTGGCACTCTCTCGATGTCAAAATGTGGAATACAGATGCGGCTGTTTTTAAATTCTCATTCTGTGTCCAGCCCGTCTTGGCTACTCTCAACCTTCTTCACCGTCTTCCCACAAAAAGGAAGTGCTTTGAGATAAATGCTTCTGTTCTTCTTGCCGTTAAGGAGGCTACCATGTCCGTTTTGTTTTCAGGGCTCGGTGTTAGTGATGTCTGCCACCCTGTAGCGTTAGTCTTCTCTACACACATCGTCTCGGCTCTTTTTGGCACAGAGAACTGGGCCAATTTTAGCGGCCTTAGGTGTAATGAGAGGACAACTCCAGATAGTCTGCTAGACAATAATCCGACTGAATATACGGGCAGATCAAATGGATCCATGTAAGCCCAAACGGCACCAACATTAATCATTCGCAGCAGAACGAGTGGAAGTAGACTTAACGCACCTTTTCTTAAGTAGAAACTCTGTGAGAATGTGCCACGTCAGCGGATCCAATGAAAGCACATAAATCCCAATTTTGCTTATCTGCTGCTGTTCCTCGAGAGGTCTGGAGGGAACGCTGCACTGCCCGTTTAGATCCTGCACGATTTTGCCGCACACAGCGAATACTTCAGAGGCGTCTAATGCTCTTAAGCTCTTATGTTTCATTATGGAAAATAGGTGACAAGTGGATTATAAATTTTTGCACTCCCTCAAATGAGGGGGAGGGGAGCAAATATATAAGCCGCTGATGCCAGGACCCTCTTAAGTCGATGCATCGTGTGGGGCAGCTTTTCATGTTCCCTTGAAACACTCTGCATGCTTTTTTTTGTTGTGTTTAAATGTGACTTGCGTGACATGTCTTTTCAAAACCAGGAGGTAACTATTTAGAGAAACTGGCAACCGATTCTTGGCCTTTTTGTTTGCCGGCGGTGGCCATCACTTTTTAACATATAAAAAAAGTAGGGACAGCAAAACGTGCACCCCAAAAATAAATACATTTTTAATATTTGTATATCTTTTTAGCCAACGCTGCGTGTGCATTAGTGTGTGGACTCGTGCGTACAGGCATCTCTTTTGGAGATAATGTTGAAGCAAAATAAAAGATGTTTGGGAAAAGTTCAACTAACCCGTCAGCATCACAAACATTACTGCAAACGGATTCAACTGACAATGAACCTGAATGAAACGAACAAAAAGGAAACTCTTGGGAGGTATCTCTGGTCATCAGATAGAAAGTTAGACCACAAAGCGTTTACACGTATACATTTACATTATTAAGCGGACTTATAACTGCATTGTATCTTAATTACCCAAAGTGACTATAAACTGCAGCCATATTTCCTGTTTCTGCAAACAAAAGCTGATATAAATACTCACTTCTGTCACTTCTGTCTTCTTTCCAGATGCATCCTCTGGGGCTGTGTAATAATAACGACGAGGAGGACCTTTACGAGTACGGCTGGGTCGGAGTGGTGAAGCTGGAGCAACCAGAGCTGGACCCCAGCTGTCTCACCGTGCTGGGAAAGGTAAAGAAACCGCTTCTGTTTCACCGCTGATATTCAGAAATGACTCTTGGGAAACGCTGCACAGCACAGATAGAGCAACGGATTAAACTCTTCTCAAAAAAAAATGGCCATGCGCCACACTCACAAAACGTGACAAGGGTGAAAAGGGTGCTATATTTCTGCTGCAGGATGACATGATGCATTAGGGTGCGACTGTAGGTGAGTCATGCAATGAAATGAAAGAAGAAAAAAAACATCTTCGCTTTGTTATAAACAAACTGCAGTTTGGACATTTTAACTCCTTCATGCTGTGATTCTGATTGAAGTGCTGCTTCATTCATATCATGTTGACAGATTGCCCATATTTAAGGTAGAAATACAGGCTCTTTTCTCACATCTGCAGCCAATTTTTACATGAATGCACTGAAGCGATGATAATTGAATTCACAGATCGAAGTACACAACAGCACTATCGGGCGTATTGAATGTTTTGCCATGAGATTTCTGGCTCGTGCAGACAGCGCGGTGATTCGTGTAGTCAGGCGGCCCCGTCCTGCTACTCTCAAGTTAAGGAAACGTCTTCCCCGTGTACTTAATGAAACCCTTTTTTAAAAAGAATTTATCTTTGATCTTTTGTAGTCGCAGAGACAATTCACGGAAGGATGATTTGGTTTTATTTAGTTTCTCACTTCCCATCGCCGCGGGAATGAGGCTGAACTGAATCCCCTCCCTTGTCTCTCACCATCCCCCGTCCCCCCCGTCCCCATCCTCCCCTCCTTCCCAGAACCTGCTGGAGTCTCCGAGTGGTATTTTATGATGCTTTAATTAAGTGTTCCTCTTAATGGAATGTACCAACATTCCCCGGACGATGAGCGGGGAGGGGGGGTCGGGGGTGTCTATAGTCTCATTTATCCTGTGCATGCCCGGTGACAGAAAGAGAGCAGCCATTCATAATTTAAGGAGCCCTTGTGTCGTATAGACATGCTAATGGTGCACTTTCCTCTGCGAATGGTGTTGCTGCTACCTGGCTCATGCATACTTATGCTGAGACCTGAAAACTGACCTAATGTTCGGCACTCAAACTCCTCTTTGACTGTAGCTAAGAATACATCACTGTCACGGGTGGCTGCCCTCACTGGTAAACGCTCTTCTTCGTTCGTAATTTGTTGATTACCACTTAACACTACTATGACTGTCATGGGAACAGTTAGTATGCCTGTAGGGCGGCAAGACTGCCGTGGGGGAGAGAAGAAGTGTGTGATTTTTAGGTGGTGAGCGTTTAAAAGGGGAACTCCACCAATTTCACACATCAAAGTGTGTTTACAGTTCCCGGGGAGTGCTAGTGCATACAGCATGTGGGCAGAAACGTACAAAGCCTTTTGTCCAGAGGGAGCCATGTGAAGTCTGATAAAGGCTTGAGTTGCATTGTGGGTAATGTAGGCACCATGAAGAAGAATGTGTGGGGTAAAAAAGGAGGATATCTCCGGTTCTGCTACATCGACTACATCGCTAGCCACAGGCATGTAGTGTAAGCACATGCTAAATGTGTTTTATTGGACCGGGCCAAAGATTGGAGAGATTTTGGTGGACGGGCGACATGAATCAGCTACGTGGCATGCGCCTTAGCCAACTGAGCCACGAGGACACCCGGGTACCAGAAACCCATACCTTCCGTTCATTGGAACCAGTCAAAGCACAGCGCTAATGAGATGGCCATTTTTCTACGTTCTAGTTCCATGTTTTGCTGAGGGACGGCTGTAGTGAGGATGGTAGGAACCTTGACCTCTTGGCCTCCCGCCAGCCTCCCCAACCTCTCGAACCACTCTGTTTCCTCTGTGTTTATTCCGCCAGCACTTTAATTAGAGGAGGGATAGCCCATTGTTGCATCTTGACAGACCCTCGCCCCAGGGCCTGAACACAGCTGGGTGCTTTGCGTTGGCACCGCCGCTTTTTGCCGGGGCCAGACAGTGCAGTGTTTACCCCCTGCCAGTCCGCTTACTCTGCCCTGCCAGCCAGGCCACCATGCCCATTCCCAGTCCGGATACTATGCCCACTCTTACACACTCACCCCGTCTCGTCTGGCCCCGTGCTCGGCGAGCCCACGCCCCCCCTACCCGACTGGCCCCTGACTGAACCCAAGAGCCCACTCCACTTTGCTGCCACTTTGCCACCAACAGTGTTGGGGTCTTGTCTGGTCAATTTAGATTCCATTCAATTACAGGATCCCAGTGAAACACACAAAACGGAATTGTAGGAGAGAAAAATGCTGTTTACGCCAATTCATGTCTAAATATAAAGTGTCTGGGAACACAAGGCCCCCAGCTGTGCTCAGGAGCCGGTCAACAAGTAGCAACGGGCATTCCCTCAAGGAAAGGGCTTGCCTTTTTTTAGATTGTCCTAATTGGCTTTTAGAGCAAAACTTGATTGACGGAGCATTTCTGGACAAAAAGGGAACACAAGAGCTCGACTTTCCACAGAGCAAGTTCCTGCAGCTCTTTCCGTACCTTCAGAATTATGTTGACTAGATAAAGTTATTAATGCTTTAATGTTTGCAGTACATTCCCTTTCACGCCATTGTTGTCGATAATATATCTTTATCTAATATAGCTTTTACTAAATTATGCTGCTTAGTGACTCAAGGTTGTTTTTTTTTTTTTCGACCGCTCTCGCTGCTCGCAGAGCAAACCAGTAAATATTAGCAGCAGAGGAAGTGGAGGAAGAGAGGTCGGTCATGCCGGGCCTCTGAAGTCCACGTGCAAACCTCACCAAAGTGCTGCTGTGTCACATATATCTACACAGTTTGTTCCTGCACTTCCTGTCTGTTTCCTGTGAGAGCTGCAGGGCTGTTAGACCTTTGACTTCTGTGTGCCACAGCTGTGGCCCCTCCCCCAACAGCAGCAAATCGGTTCCTACTGTAGCCGACTGCGTTTGAGACACTCTTTTGAAGTGGTGAGGCTGTCTGAGGTTGTGGTGTCATATATGAGGATGACGCCGCAAGGTGCCCTGGTGCTAGTGGACCAGGACTTGCTTCTCTTTAGTTCCAGTGTCGCCTCCTTTTTTTGCGCGTTTGTAAATCACATCTGCACGCATGTATCCGCTCTCAAGTTGGAACTATTTACCGCGGTCAATAACATATTTTTGGTTGTCATTTCCTCCTTCGCTGCCTGACTGTCTCAGAACCGGCCCCCCCACCTCCCTTCTTCTCAACTCTGCCTTTCATACACATACACTGCGATTTTTGGCAGCTCCTCTGGAACATGAAATCATGCCACTGGCTTTCATTGATGGTGGCCCAGGCTGGTCAGGGTCTTTGTCACCGTGCCAGTGAGATATCTCGTCTTTCAAGTACCCGCCGTGTCAGTGCAATGGCCTCACGGGGCCTTAGCATGCCGGCTTTTCCCCTTTCATCCTCCTCAGGCTCTCATGACATCAGCCCCTAACCCGGGGGGGGGGTTTAGAGGACAGAGGAAAGGGAGTGAGGGTTTGGCTTCTCAAGAAGATGACGAAGGCGAATGGTGCTTTGGTGAGTGGGTGGCTGGGATTTGTGTCTCGCTCGGTACAACTTTTTTTTTTTTTTTTTTTTTTTCTGTGCGCACATGAGCATAAAAATGCGACCCATCCTCCCACACACACAGCCCTGCAGCTTGTGTAAACCAGGCCTCTTGGCTGGCATAGCATGTAAAACTCCCCGGTATGTGCTTGTTGTGTGTGGCCTGGCGCTGCCCTCGACCAGCTCGTCTCTGAACCGCGATCGGTTCCACCTTAAGCACCAGCCAAAGACAACATTTCATCGCAGCGGAGCGCAACCGCTACAAAGCACTCAAAAATAACTAGAGCAACGAGAAAACATCTCAACATCTTTATTGACATACATCCTCCCAGAAATAAAGCATGCTACTTCAAAGTTTTAGCCAGTGGCAGTGTATCCTGGGTGGAAAAGCTCTGTCTTTGACAAATATACAAACACAATCCCAAAAAACCCGCAGTTGCCATGGAACAATGTGAGATGGCAGAGGAGTGCGTCTGTGTGTCTCTTTCTACCGTGGCCCTCAAAAGTTGGCACTGTGGGACGGCAGGCCGGAGCAAACAGCTGTTGCGTCTTAGTGCTAAGTGGCTTTTGGACTCTAACCGTGTCTGGCATCTCAGCCAGAGCTGCAGAGAGGGTGCAGTGTGTGAGAGAGAGAGGGAGAGAGAGAGAGGAATGACGGGGATATTGAAAGTACACAAGGGCTACAAGGACGGTGTGTGTGTGTGTCTGTGTGTGTGTGTGTGTGTGTGTGTGTGTGTGTGTGTGTGTGTGTGTGTGTGTGTGTGTGTGTGTCTGTGTGTGTGTGTGTGTGTGTGTGTGTGTGTGTGTGTGTGTGTGTGTGTGTGTGTGTGTGTGTGTGTGTGTGTGTGTGTGTGTGTGTGTGTGTGCGTGTGAAGAAGAGAGAGACCCCTGCATTAAAAGAAAGAAATGGCCACAGGCAGACGAGTGTGATATTGCGGGCGACTGGCTCCGAGCCTGCGGCCAGGTTAGCCGTCCTACACACTCAGGTGTGTGCTCGGGGTCGTCCCGAGTCCACGGCAATGCCAGTAGGGTGTCAAGCCGCAGGGCTTGTTGTGAAGGAGCTTCAATGCCGGACTGAACTGGCTGCATTTTGGCCCCACGTTTTTTCAGACGGCTTCTAACGCGGCGTGCCGGCCTTTGCGGGGGAGGAACGCTGTCCGATCAGTGGGCGTATAGTAGTACATCTGCGTGCCAATTAGCTCATCTGCCGTTTATCAGTCTGGATAAGAAGAACTGGTCGGCTGGCTGATCGGCTTGTGTTGTTTTGCAGACTGCTGAGTGACTCACCGTGTCGCTCTCATCACTCTCTTCTTTTTTCCATGCTTTTTCCTTTAACTCCCTCCAAAGGGCCGTAGTGAAGCAGAGAGCCTTGATAAAAAGAAAGAAAATTGCCGTAGTTTTTCACTGCCGAGTCTCCAGAGTGTTTTGTTAAATTGCAGCGAAGCCACAATGGTGATTGATTTATAACGGC